TGACAAGGCAATGGCTTGCTGTAACTGCTCGTTCTCAACGTCATCTGCTGCATCATCCACATCGTTCGCACCGTTCATCGGAACGTTCTCCCAGTCTTCCTCTTCTTCGTTATCATCCGCAAGGAACAACGAGTCTGGATCCTGGTTGACTGGGGTAGCCCTTTGTGGTTTAGACTGTACTGGCTTCTCTTTCCTCGACTTGTAAAGGTTTCTGCGTCGTGTCGCAAGCTCGTTCGCGATGAACTCACGGCCCTCCTTCTCTTGGGCGCTCAAGCCCCCCTTGGGCTTTGGCAGCCTGTTCAGGCCCTCGATGGGAACGTCCTCGAAGTCTTCATCGTCCTCCCATTCTTGTTCTTCTTCAGCAGGACGCTCTGGTAGATCCACGTTAATCGGCTTGTGAGCTTTGCCCTCTTCCTTGTTCAGCACGACTCCGAGGGCCCAGCCACCTTCCACTCCGTCGTTCTTGACAAGGACATACTCCCTATCTCTCTCGCCCGCAACGCGATTGAATCCGCCTGCGCCAAATGCATCGTCGTTCATCCCGTTGAGGTTCATCAATCGCTGCGTAAGTTCGTTACGTTCGCGCACACGCTCGATTTGGAACTTGGAGAAAGCCATCCTGTCTGGAAACATTGCATCAAGCTGTTCTTTCGAGTGTCCCATCCTGAGTCGACTTCGTAGCCTGGCTGCGTTCAAGATATTGTACCTATCAGCCGGAGGCAGGCTCTGGAAGAAATGACCATCGAAGTCAATCTTGGAGAAGTCATAGACGTTGATATCTTCGCCTCTGTCAAACTGGCGTGCGTACTCCTCCAGCTCTTCGAGCGACATGACTCTGGGATCATTCGCAGCCCCCATTTCAGACATGGACTTGCCGAGGTCTGGAAGGTGATACTGATCCTTCTTCTTAAAGGTTCGATTCTCTGTTCGCTCTTGGGGCGTCTGCAGAAGTTCCTCCGCATAGACCAGATTATCGGGTATCTCTTCCTCCTGTTGCGGTGGCTCCTCTCTTGGATGCTTGGCAGCTTCCTTCCGCCTCTTCTCTTCTTCCTCAGCAGCCCTCTGCATTTGTATAGCCAGCAACTTTCCAGCTGTCCGGACCGCATCTTCTCGTCTACCTTCACGTCGCGACTTGCGGTTGTTGATGGTTTGTCGCTTCAACGCCGGTGCGCCGCCATCGAAGACGAAGACGGGCTTGATGCCGATGAAGAGAAGCTTGCATACTCGGCGAAAGAAACCGACAATATGGCTGTTCCGTAAAGCGTTTCCTTCCTTGTCGCGCACGGCCTTGAGGAACTGGTATATCCAGATGGAGGCATCGACGGCGAGGCGCTTCTTGTTCAGCGTTTCGATCTTGATCGGCCGCGCGCAGGGCTGCAGAACGGTCCAGAGGCCAGTGACACCCATGGCGCTCTTCTGGGGGCGTTGTCCATCTGTTTGGAGGGGTGGAAGTGGTCGTCGAGTTTATTTCTGAAGGGCGCAGGCTGCCGTGTGATCGCGCGTTCAGAGCGTGTTCTCGATGACGACATGCCAAGCCTGCCAAACGCGACGATCACGTGCGTAAGCGCTAGCGTCATCGCGAGAGCATCCGGACATGTGCGAGATATAAGTCTTAAGAAAAGATAGAAAGATCATTATGAGACAAGATGATTGATGATGCTAGATCATGCCTTTATACACACTTTCTACGTTCTATACGGCTTTCGCCGTCTTAACAGAAGTGTGTCATAAGCTGAAGATAAATAACTTTGCCATTAATATTTTTACATTCTAATCTAGGTATAAGGTGAAGGAAGGCAATCTATAAACCCTGCCCCTCGAGACCAAGACCCACTCCAACATTTTGCACTTCGTCTCGGTCTCCCTCGTCATCACCGAAATCTGCTGCCTCGCCATGATCCTCAGCGTCTTTCATACCAGCATCGGCGCCTCCAAACATGCCTCCTTTGTGCTGCTGTCTGCGCCTTGATACATCTTGGCTTCCCTCGGCATCATCCGAATCGTCGAAAACCCTACTCTGCTTTCTTCCCGTAGGAACATCTATAATGTCGCCGCTTGGTCGGAACTCGAACATCGAATTAGGACGATCGTGACTGAATGGCGAATCACGGGGACGAGCTCTGAGGGCTGTGGAGTGTGTTGTGGCTTGCGGCGACATAGCGGACCACCATCCGCTCAATCGTTTTCCCAACGATGGACTGTCGGGGGCGTCTGGCTTCTCAGCAGTGTTTGCTAGATCAGCTGGCGCGTTCTTCTTCTTACGCGCGAATGTAAGACCAAGAGGGAGATTCACGGGCGAGCTAGGCCGCGATGGTCCTGCAGTGGAGGAGGACTCTGATTCTGAAGCTGGGTATAGAGCCTCACCGTCAGGGCCATCGCTTCCAGTGCGCTTGAGCAAGCTACGAAGGTCTTCTTCGCTGAGAGTGTTGACAATATCGTCATCGCGTGCCCCACGAGGTCTGAATCTCCGTCTTCCTTCTTGAATGGCATATTCCAACTTGGCACGATTCGCGATGAACTTCAGCTTGGGGAAAGCCGACTGTTGGCCAACATGTATCATGCGTGCTAGTCGCTCTGGGGTTGGGTCCGTGAGTATATACAAAAAGTCTGAAGGTATGGACTTGGGCCAGATGGTAATGGTTCCACTGAAGCGTTGCAGCCAGAGTTCACTCCAGTCCTGGCCTAGTGGTCGCGGTAGAAGCTCGAGATGGCGAAGCACCTTTAGCCATTTGTTGAGATCGAGCTTGAGATACTGAATCAAATGATTAGCATGCGTATTGAGAGTCCGTTGTGTGGTTGACGTACCTGCTCTGTGGCGGAACCAAGGAAACCACCTCGCCATCCGCGTCCACGGCGATGAGTGACAGGTCGACCAACCGAGCCTCGGGATGAGAAGAAGAAGATATTGATATGAGGGTTGACCTGGCTGACGATTGAAAATCGGACGTTGAAGTGGAGGTTCAGCGCTTTCAGTGGAATGTCCGTCCGGAGACTTCCATCCTTCCACTTGTGTCCAAAAGAGTAGGGTGAAAGAGTGCCGTTCTTGTTCTTTTTCATGAGTACCACTGGGTTGAGAATTCCAGGGACGGCCGCAGATGCCAAAACTGCTGACCAGACAACACAGTCAGGAGCCGTGATGTAGTTGGCTAAGATGGTCGGAGAGTGGGGGTCGGAGGGCACACAGGAGACGTTTAGTATACGTCCAGTCCTTTGATATGCTTCCTTGAACGTCAGACTGCCACGAGTCATCCAGGCGCACTTCTTTGCCCAATCGACGCTGTCGAATCTCGCTCCAGTCTTGTACCATCTCTTTGACCATGTAAGAATGCCTTCGTGGCAAGCCGTGATGCGATGAGCCAGAGCGGGTACGAGCAGTTTCTTGAGTTCGTCGTCGGTCCTCGTGCAAAGCAGTGCAGCCACGAGAGCTCCACCAGATGTACCAGTGATGACTTCAGGCAGCAATTCGGCATCCATGAGAGCCTTGGCCACACCGAAGTGGTAGTATGCAAATGTCGCTCCTCCAGACAGACATAGCGCAGTGCGACCAAAGTTGCTGCCGAGGTGTTTGAACAGGGCGCGCTTGTTCTCTGCATCGAGCTGTGTGGTTTGCAGGAGGAAAGTGAGCGACGTCTCGGCTTCGTCGACGAATTTCTGGACGAGGTCTTTGGTTCCGTAGTACGTCTCGCTGTACAGTCGGGGGTTCTCGAAGCCGACGAAGTTGTTCTTCATGGAGGCTAAATGCGACGTTAGATGTGTTCTGCGGCGTGGGAAAGACGGGGCGCTTACCTTCTAGGAGCGCACGAAGGTCCTCGACAGCCGTGTGTTGGCCTTGTGAGGCTTTTGATCCTGGCCCGCTCTTCTCTTCTGCTTCGGCCTTTTCCCGCAGTTTGACCATCTGCTGGTGTACTCTTGCAATCGTCTTGCTGTCGTAGTAGGCATAGTCGGCCTTCTCCTTCCACGACTCGTTGCCCAGGTATGCGTCGAGTTCCTTTGCGCCCTCAATCCACTCTTGGTAGGATCGCGCATCCTGCAGCCGCTGACGTAGTCTCTGCCGTGTGCCTCGCCATGTGATCCAGTGCTCGTATAGGTATATGTACAGGCGAGTAAAGACGTAGGCGATGCTGAGGAAGAACAGCCACCCCAGCACGACCAGGAGCAGCGGCCACTTGAGTAGCACATAGACGAAGCCTTCGCGCGTCTCGTCCTTGCCGCGTCGCGGGGGCGCCTTGCTCTTCTTGCGCCGCTTGACGCGCTGGTGGACGGGCCGCCAGTCGTTTTGGGCGGAGATGAAGGTTCGATCGGGCGGCAGAGCCGTGAGGTCTTCGGTGGATGGTGAATTCTCAGGCGCAGCGAGGGCTTTCTCGAATTCGATAAAATGGTCTTCTTCGACGAAGTCGTTCGCGTAGTCTGGCAATAGGGTGAAGTCGAAGCCCGTAGAGGAATATGGCTCGGGGCCATCCGTCTTCTTGTCTACGTCAGCCATGGGGGGGAGAGGCGTCGGGTGTAAGTCGCATCGTCGAGATGATTAGGGGAGACGACTCAGGTGATGTCAAATGGGCGTGTTGGCATGTGAGGCTCGAAGCTTCGGGTGCTAGCCAGTACGTCACAGGGCCCAGGCCGCTCGGAACCCTTCCGCCGGTAATGCAGAATTGTGCATCAACACCACGTCTCGCCCACACCAAGCACTTGCCGACCTGCGAGGCATGCGACCTCGATGCAGAACGCTCCAAGCCGTCGCCCGATCGCGAATCCTCCCGCCCCCGCAATGGAGGCCTCGCCGCTGTCTGATGACGCTGGCCATCGAGACGTCTTGCGATGATACCTCGGTCGCCATAGTGGAAAAAGAGACGCGGCACGGCCGGACGACAGCGCAGTTACACTTCCACAAGAAAGTGACATCGGACAATGCCGTCTATCAGGGCGTTCACCCGCTGGTGTCCCTTCTGTCGCACCAAGAGAACCTGGCCATGCTTCTCCATGAAGCTATGCGCTCTCTGCCGATGCGCGATGGAGAGACTTCTCTGGAAGATGCGCAAGCAAGCACAGTCGATCTCGCGACACGAAGGCTACCTGATTTTGTGTCTGTCACTCGTGGGCCAGGCATGCGCAGCAATCTCTTCACGGGTCTTGATACCGCCAAGGGACTTGCTGTAGCATGGCAGGTACTGCGCGAGCTTCTCTCTACGGACTTGCTGCTGATAGCGATACTAGAAACCTCTCGTCGGAGTTCACCACATGCAGGCTCATGCGCTTACGCCACGTATGGTCAACGCCCTCGAAGCCCACATCGAGCCTGAACACAGCGCCATCTACGATTCGACGTCGATACAAACCGCGCCAAAGTTTCCGTTTCTATCCGTCCTCGCCTCAGGTGGTCATACACTGCTCATACACTCGGCGTCTTTGACGGACCACCGCGTGCTGGGTTCTACAAATGACATTGCTGTGGGAGAGTGCTTGGACAAGATCGCTCGTGTAGTGCTGCCTACAGAGTTACTAGAAACATCAAAGAGCACCATGTATGGAGCGCTCCTCGAGGCATTTTCGTTGCCCGATCGCTCCCGCAAGTCAATATCTGGCGACGCATCAACCCATGTAACGAAGCCACCAACTTATTCAGCCAAGACATACTTGGATGCTCATGGACACCTATACAATTGGTACGAAGTTCCGTTGAATCATGAAGACGCCATGCAGAAGAGCGCGACAAAATGGGGCTGGGCACTCAATCGGCCCCTGACTAAATCAGGTGGAGGTGTCAAGATTAACAGTCTTGAGCTGAGCTTTTCAGGTATTACGACAATGGTTGAGCGCATCGTTCGATTTGGTATGGATCCGGTCACTAGAAAATTCAACAAAGTCGAGCGAACGGCGGCAGACGTTAGCCTTGAAGAGCGCATGGACCTTGCACGCGAGACCATGCGCGCAGCTTTTGAGCATGTCGCTTCCCGAGTAGTTCTAGGCTTGCAGACTCAAGAAGATACTCTAGCCGTGCCTGCGGTTGTCATGGCTGGTGGCGTGGCTGCCAACTCGTTTCTCCGGCACATGTAAGTCTGCCTGCAGTAGCGAGAACACATAGTTTCGTCGACTGGGATGCTAACGGCTGTAAGACTTGCGAAGACGCTTTGCGCCCATGGTTATCCGGATGTTGAGTTGCATTTTCCACCGCCCAAGTTCTGCACCGACAATGCTGCAATGATAGGTTGGGCTGGTCTTGAGATGTATGAAGCGGGTCACGTCTCCCCACTCAGCATAAGGGCAATACGCAAATGGCCTCTGGACAAGCTGTTGGATCCCCCGGCGGATGGGTAAAACTTTGACGTTACATACCACGTGCATGCAACACGAATTGTGCGAGCATTTGGACACCTCGCCAAAACACAAAATATCAGCTGGTGCCTGCATTGGGTTCTTCATCAGCCAGGCATGCATCTATCAAGACTACGTCGGCTACCGGCAGGAAAGTATGGTTGGCTTCAAGCAGATGCCACACTGGCTAAAATCTGCCAAGAACGTTATCAGTACGAGTATCTACAAGACTGATCTCGTCTTGTCTAAACATAGATGATCTGGAGCGTAGATGGACTGTATGGTACCCTGGAGTAAGTCGCTACCAGCTTTCACCTTTCCCAATGCGAGTGTTGAAATCCTCGCCTGCCATTTTAGTCTGGACAAAAAAGCGCCAAGCATGTCCGCCTCCAGACCAGGCGAGTACGGTGTACAGATAACGTTTTGAATACGTTGGGCGATGTAGAGCTGGATCCGTCTTATATGAAGCTGCAAGGGCATTGCGTTAGCGACCCCGGACTTCTCGGTTGTTCGCATGCATGTCACGATCACATCAAATATCCAGCAATTAGCCAAACAACGTGCACTTTAATTCTGCCGACGGTCCCACGTTTCGCCAAATCAACGCTCTATAGAGTACGATCTATCGCTATTTTTAGGCCTTTCCAGGTCATGCCACAGCTGTACCCGACGGCTATCTGGATATATTGCGCTGCGAGATCGAAAGCACGACCTAGAGCCCGGAACCACGACTATCAAGCATCGCTAATGCAACGTCTGGAGTATCGCACACGTGCAAGCGATGTTCCGTACGGCACGATGGTGTCTAGGCTCGTATCTTTCATTTACAGACTGTATCGTCGCTTGTGCGGTCAGGCCGGCCAGAATGGTGAGCCGAGCGAAGTCTATAACTCTGCCGTACATTCGCGAAGATTGAGTTGATGCTGAGATGTCCTTATAACCTGTCAATCAATCCTTCGTGAGACTCTGCTGATTGAACATGGCTCCTGCAAGGAATACTGTGCTGGCACTGCTAGGCCTTGCCATCAGGTTAGTCATGTCTACTAAGCTGGCAAGCTGTCACTAACCTTCTTATAGCATTCGCGCAGCACCTGCTGGCTTACAACATCGCCAGATTGGCGTTCTTCCACCCAAACAGAGTGTCTCTTGGGACACTGGCAACTCAGAACCCACCGAAGAGCCACAAGAGCCCGTTGTCCCATCCAAGCCAACTGATGAGATTAGCCTTGGAACACCATCGGGCTGGATCAGCTGGGAAACCACCGGCCCAGCTCCCACAGATGCTCCCGAAGAACCTGAGTACCCGCCTCCAGCCAAGCCTACTGATCAATTCAGTATTGGTACACCGTCCGGCTGGATCAGCTGGGAGACGACCGGGCCTGCGCCCACACCTGCTCCCCAAGAACCCGACTACCCTCCTCCTTCTAAGCCGACGGATCAGTTCAGCATTGGCAAACCATCCTTCTGGGTGAGCTGGGCTACTGATGGGCCCGAGCCAACTCCTGAACCGGAAGAGCCTGAGGAGCCTGATTACCCCCCACCTAAGTCTAGCGATCAGTTCAGCATCGGAAAACCATCTTACAGTATCACCTGGGACGGAGATGGTCCAGGCGCGTCCTCAACGCCAACGCCAGAATCGACACCTACACCGGAACCAACGCCAACGCCAAAGCCAACTTCGAAGTATTCCTCCATCGTATCTCTTCCCCCTATCTGGTCGAACTCCAGTATGACTAGCTCCGCTTCCGTCACTAGTTACAAACCTTCAGTGTCTTCTTCTACCAAGTCTGCTTCATCGAGTAAGATTTCATCTACCAAGAAACCCGGCTACCCTCCATGGAACCCATGGCCACCGAAGCCAACGACGATGAAGTCTACCGCAAAGTCCACTATGACGTCTACTAAGAAGCCAACTTCGACGCCGAAGCCGTCGACGACTGCTAAGCCAACACCTTCCCCAGCTCCAGTCCCCTCAATAACCAAGAGCGCTATCATCAGCCTCTCTCCGCCTAAATTCAGCGTGAGCTGGGACTTGAATAAGAGAAACGCAAAGCCAACTTCTACGACTACTAAGAAATCTAAGACGAGTAAGACTATGATGACAAAGACTAGCACGAAGAAGAGCACTTCGAAGAGCACTTCAAAGAGCACGTCAAAGTCTACCTCCAAGTCATCATCCAAGTCTTCTTCAGCAGCTACAACAACGCCTAAGCCTACATATGCACCCAAGCCCACGCCTACACCAACACCATCTGCCACTCCAAAGCCCACCCCAACACCGACGCCCAGTCCTACTCCCCCTTCCACAACCCCAAGTCCTCCCTCTACTTCCACCTCCACACGTTCAGCAGACATCACCGTAGGTCCACCCAACTACAGCGTAACCTGGGACTACGACGAGCCCGAACCAACAGCCCCTCCCTCGGAAGAAGAGCCCTACCCCTCCGACCCAGAAGATCCATTTCCCGAGGAGCCCTTCCCAGAAGACCCAGAATACCCAGAAGACGACTTTCCGCCTCCCTCCCAACCAACCCAAGCAAACAGCATCGGACTGAACCCGCCCACCGTAACCGTAATCTGGGGCAAAAAGCGCCAAGAAGACGATGCTGCACCTACATCTTCACCTGAACTCCCCGCGGAAAACGAAGACGACGACGGCCCCGTAGAAATCCCCGCTGCACCCGCACCAACCCAACCCAACAGCGTCGGCCTCAACCCCCCAACCTACACCGTCATCTGGGGCAAAGAGAAGAAGCGCGCGCCTGAACCTACTGCCGCCCCTGCCCCCGCTGTAGCTGTAGCAGAGCGAGAAGCCGTGCCAGCGCCGCAGAACAGTATTGGGCTGGAGTTCCCTTGGCAGAGTATCTCGTGGCCGAAGCCTGAGCCGCCGACGTATATCTCGTGGGGGAAGAGGGAGCCTGTTGCGCAGCCTACGGCTGTGCCGAGGGCGAGGGGGATGGAGACGGTTTATGTTAGGGGGAGGGGGGCTGAGGCTACGGCTTGGAAAGGGGAGTAAGTTGGGGGAATGGGGGTTAGGTGGGTGGAGAAGAGTTTGATTGAGTAGTTGATAGGTGTGTATGTGAAGGTCTGAGTGGGAAATTGGTGGATGTAGCATACATACCCTCGCTGATGTGTTTTCTCGGTATCCCGAATTCATCTTCTTTCCTCATGACTTCCTTCATCCTTCAGCTCGCCATGGCGCAATTTGATCATTCATTCTCCCTGCTCCCATGTTGGATGTACTTCCTTTCAATTCCAATGACGCAAAACTTCACCACAACACTGGCAGACCCACACGTACACGCCAAGGTCAAGAAGTATCATAGACATTACTTGTTTACATAAACCAAGGCAGAAGTACCCAGAGCTGTTGTACAAAATCCTAATTTCAATGCTCAAACCGGCAAATTGAACCACGGCAATAACTACGACCTGCGCCTAATCGCAACCAGTTCCAAGAAGACTGTGTTAGTGTCTACGCCCCCTGGCTACGCACCTGAAGCTTCTTAGGCTTCTTCTTCGCTTTCGGCTCTTCAGATGTCGTAGAGCCATCTGGCTTCTCATCCTTCTGCGCAGGAGCATTCTTCTTATCCGCCGCATCACCATCTTTCTTAGGTGCCTGTTTAGTCGACTCCGTTTTCTTCAACTCCGGCTTCTTTGGTGCTTCCTTCTTCTCCGCCGTGTCGTCCTTCTTAGGTTGTTGCGCTTCTTTAGGCTTAGATTTCGTGTCATCTGCCTTGTCCTTCTGGTTCAGCTTCTTTGGTGCTTTCTTCGCTTTGCCAGATGCGACGGATGAGGCGAGGTCTTCGCCTTCTTGGACGTCTTCGACCATGAAGTTGGCTGCCATGCATCGCCCGCCGTTCTGCTTGCCTACGTCCATGGGGCAGGCGCTGAACACTATGACTACGTCTCGCTCAGCGCGGAAGCGGACGTGGCAGCGTTTCTTGCCCTTGGGCTCATCGACGCTGAGTGTCACGCCCTTTGTGCCTGCGCCGTCGCTGTGAGATGTACCTTCAGATTGCAGAGGCGCATTCATGAAGAGATGAAGGGGTGTCGGTGCGATGTTGACGGAAATATCTGCGCCAACTGCTTTTGGGCCTTTCAGTCCTGCCGTCTCGTTGATCTCCTTGAGTGCGAGGACGAGGTTCTCGGCACAGCTGCCATGTTCCGCTGGCTTATCGACACCGAGAGCAGCGTATTGGTTCGCGTCGCACGCCGCCGTCAGTGTATCGTGCGCACCAGGCGAGGTGTCTTCGACGAGGGTAACGATCGGGTTGCGCAAGTTGGTCAATAGCTCGTCATCGACTTCGGGTACGAGTTTGTGCGAGGCAGCGCGCGTGTGGGGAAGAGAGAGGTACTCCATGGGAGGTTGCTCGTAGTTCGAGGGATTCGTCGAAGCGTAGGCGGAGTATACAGCGTAAGCTGAGGACGCGTACCCTGATCCAGTTGCAGCTACACGGTGTTAGCACGGATTCTTATAACGTAGCATCTTGCTCATAGACTTACCGGCAATAGTACCAGCCCCCACAGGTGTCTTCGAGAAATCGTACAACTGCTCCGCATAGCTCTTGTTCGGATCGCGGTTATGGCTCGACTTGAACGCGCTCACGACGGATTTCGAGTCAGGCACGTCGACATTCGGTACGTAGCTAGAAAAGCTCTTTCCAGTCGGCAAGTATGAAGACCACTTCTTGGTGTTCTCCTCATTCTGCTTCTTCTCCTGTTCGGGACTAGGTTTCTGCTCTGCTTCCTGCTTGCTCGCTCCACCTTTGCTGCGGTACGGGATAGAAGGGAGGTATGACGCCCATGTGCGCTTGTTGGGCTGCTTTGACGATGAATCTGTGCTTTCGGTCGTCTTCTCGTTGTTGGGTGTATCGGGAGCCTGCTCGGGCGGGTCCTCAGCAGCTCCTTGCTTTGATTCGTCGGCCTTTTCTTCTGTAGATTGCGTTTCCTTTCCATTGTCGTTACCATCTGCCTCCTTCTTCGGCTCCTTCGCCTCGTCATCTTCTCCTTTTGTCGCCTCTGTAGCTTTCTCTCCCTCTTCCTCAACAGCCTTCTTCATCTGCTCTGCTTCCTTCTTGAGTTGTTCGTCGTCCAGTTCCTTTCCTTCACCCTCTTCGCCGTCTCCATCGTCAGGCGGAGGTCCCAGACTAAACGCCCACATACTGACTACCTGCTTTCCGTAAGTGTTGATGACCTTGATTGTCCGGCCTCTGGGCACAAAAGTTGCAACGCCGTGGCGCGCAGGTATCGTTTGTAGTTCACCAGACATATCTTCGGTCGTATTGAACTCGTGCTGGTCTTCTTTGCCTTTCACCTTCTTCTTGCGCTGCTTCTCGACGGCCGACAATACAGAGATGAGCGCAATGCCAGCGAGCGCGCGACGAGAGGGGACTTGAGGCGCCGTGTTGACGACTTGTATGCGCTAGTAGCGCAAGCAGAGAAACAGGATACCTAGGTAGATGGATAGTTGGTAGACGGCCGTTAGTGTATCTGGCTGCCGGACGTTGACTTCAACAACGAGTAGTGAGGTATGGAGCGTCTACCATATTCACGGATCGGTGACGTACATGGTGCACATCATCGCGGTTTGGAGCGCGCGATTCGTCCAGAACGTCGGCGGCGAGCATGGAACCCCATGTGCAACGTCCCGCGCGATCACCTTGCTAAGATCGCGGATGACGCAGCGTGGTGGAACCCTGTTTTGAGATGGGAAAAGCAACGGACGGGACGCGGTTGCGGTTGCCCCAGAGCTCGCTTACGCTTGTAGGTTTGCAGTAACCTTGGAATCGCCCGTCAAGTGCTAGCCCTACACGCGCTGCTCATGCTCACTATCCTTATGTGCGCTTCCTGGGTGCCTGTAAGATAATGCGGCTTTCTCCAATCCCTACAGCGGTAAGGGGTATGGCGCGTCTGTCGAAGCGCCCTTCCAAACATACTCGCGCTTCGCGACCTTTGGGGCAAGAACAACCTTAAGTGGTGATTATATTACACTATTATTCAGACACGATCACCATGGTATCTTGAACTTGACCGAAAGCATGATTCCGTTCTCGCTTAGTGTGTGTGACAGTACTTGGGTATATGTTTGACGTTTGCGGCACAGTGCAGAAAGCTGCATGTTCAGAAGACGTGTCTGGACGCCACAGGCAGAAAGATAATTTTGTACGACACCAGGCGCATTTTGCATGTATTGGTATGCACTGTACGACCCCGCATAGATGGCGCGTAATCTCTCAAAAGGTGTATAGCACAATGCCTCCCACATGTACCTACCTAGGTAGCTAGGCACTTCAGAGTTATTCGGAAAGTGCGAAGATGGGTGATCCATCAGAGTCATGTTCCTTTGAGGAGTAAGTAGGTAATACCAGTCACTTTACGTGGTTACTGACAGTGTATAGTCTCATCCAATCGAAGCTGTTCACCTTCTACATTGGCAAAGAGAAGAAAGAGTTCGTTGTGCACTCTAAAGCGGTCGCCGCGATCTCATCACATTTTCATGCACTTGTGAACAATGGCATGATGCAGTCGCAAGAAGGGTCCGTAGAGTATCCGGACTTGCAACCGGATGACTTTGCGCGATTCGTTGAGTACTCATATCGTTGCGATTACACTGCACCATCTTGGACCTTGGATGAGGGAATTGTGAAGATCAACGAGACGAAAGAGGCCACCAACGATGTCGAAGACCCTCTACCACCACTGCCAGGTCCAGAACCACTAGCATACGAGGAGATGGTCTCGGATCCCTATAGGGGGTTGACCAAGTCTCAAGCAAGAAGGGCCAGATTGCTGAGAGAAGCAAGCGTAAATTCCAACCAAGCGACAAATGCTCTGCGCCAGAACTTCCACGGGCGCGCATACCTCACATACAGCGAGCCAAAGACGGCAATGCTTGAGCGCTTCCTGCCCACAGGGAATTCCGCGCCAGAACAAGATTTCACGCCTATCTTCTTAGCGCACGCACGTCTCTATACCTTTGCCTGTATGCGTCTCATCGACCCTCTCAAACGCCTAGCTCTACACAAGCTCCACCAAACCCTCCTCAAGTTCAAGCTCTACGATCGACGAGTCGGGGACGTGGTCGAATTGGCCAGATACGCATATGATAACGGCGAGGACAGGAAGCCCGATGGATCCATCGAGGATCTCAGGAAGCTGGTGGTGGAATACATAGCCTGTGAAGTGTCGACCATCGGGAAGCATGAAGCGTTTGCTCCTCTGTTGCAAGAGGGCGGAGAGTTTGTGGTCGATTTCTGGCGCATAATCGCTAAGGAGAATCTATCTTTGTAGAGGAGGTTTAGATTCCAGTAGAAATGGTCATCTCATTTGTCTTTAGATGCGAAACCTTCTCGTGAGCGTCTTGTCTTTCATGCTACGGAAGCCTTGTCGGTGATAATCCCATTTATTTCTGTTCTTGAACGCTTATTCCCAAAGTCGTCAATCTAGCGTTGCCCAGTAGTGTTGCGGCAGGGGGTAGATTGTCCGTTGCTGTACATCGTCCAAGCAGATGGCATAAGCCCGGAGGATGCGAGTGCCTGGCCGGATTTCGTCCCATACTCGCATCCCCTTCGATGCCTCAGTATGTGCAGCCCCAAACAATAGCGACGGCTCTGTGTGTTTGCATGATCATGCTTTCCATACAATCGCTCAGGGTGCCGTCATGACAAATGCTGTCATAGCTTTCACCGCATTACCATCGTGCGCGCGCAACAGCTCCGTAGCCTTTGGCTTTGTAAGTTCGAGTTCGGAGACCTGTTGTCCAAAAGTCAGTCTATGCCCAATGATTCCAGTATGTCTGCGCATCCATCTCTCTGCGCGTTTATTCCAAGGTGAACGTACCAGCAGGTTAACATCGGCTGCCTCGATCTTAACATTCTTCTTCTCGCCCTCCTTCTTGTCCTTTACATTCAGTCCCTTCATCGCCTTGTCTAGTGCCTTGCCATCGACTTCTTTCTTCGGCCCATTCTCGCCTTCTTGGGGCGCGTCGAGGGTGGAGAGGGCGGCGGCGGCTTTGCGGTCATCGGCTGTGCTCGTGGGTGCGTGCGGGTCGGCGGCGCCTTCTTGGACGGTGGAGGGCTGGGGCTCGGCCATTGTGGATGTCGCGAGTAAATTGATGTGGCTTTGAAAGCTGACAGAGCGCAGAGGGGATATAGAGGGCTTGTACACGCGATGGAAGATGGAGAGACGATGACGACAGAGGATTGGAGAGCTGAGGGTTGTGGGGTAGCTAAGGATTATGGAAATGTGGCCAATGGGAAAAGAGAGTGGCCGCCATTGGTCGAATTTATCGAGTTATGCACGCTGTCAATTCCTACATTCTGGCACAAAACCTCGCATCAGTAAATCTTACCTACGAATACCAACACAGAAGCGGCGACATACTCGCTGCACGTCTATTAGCATACTCAGGGTAAGTTTGCTGTGTTACGTCATGAAGTATTGCGCACGCAGTCCGCTTTTCGTTGCAGATTTTGTACCTTGAGTCATGTGTTTGCGTCCTTTGCTCACGTCTCCTTGCAGGCGAACCCTTGCCGAACTGCCATATTAACAAGTGACTCAAAGGTGATCTTCCGTGTCGCAACTAGACAGTCTCAAACTAGCACAAGAAGCGTACTTAGGTACATCAACTGAAAGAGAACACACTATGGACAACGAAGGGCACGCAAAATTAACCGACTACGTTTCCCAATTCATGGCAGCAACTAGTGGCCAAACACAAACACAACCAACTTCATCGACGATGAGCGCAAACTCAACACAACTGCCGGAGAGGCCAAAGCAAGAAGCTGAGACAGATGCCAGCTCTCAAGAATGGTCGCCAGCTTGTAAGAGGGATCATGGACGCTCAAGCTGCTGTACTAACGATTACAGCCTGGAGGTCAAAGCCCATCAAGCAAGTCGTCACATATGAAGACCAAGCAGCAGTATCCTCTGCGCTGACCAAGCTATCGAGTCTGCCGCCAATCGTTACACCAACAGAGATCGCGCGTCTCAAGGCCAGTCTCCGCGATGCTGCACTTGGAAAGTCGTTCCTGTTGCAAGGAGGTGACTGCGCCGAGTTGTTCTCCTACTGCGCGGACAACCCGATCGATGCAAAGATCAAGCTTCTGCTGCAAATGAGTTTGGTTTTGATTTGGGGTTCAAACAAGCCCGTCATTCGCATTGGCCGCATAGCCGGACAGTATGCTAAGCCCAGATCAAGCCCGACAGAGATGCTGAACGGCAAGGAAGTCCCTAGCTTCCGTGGCGATATCCTCAATGGATACGATCCTGACGCTCGAAGAGTTGACCCTGAGAGGCTGGTCAGTGCCTACTTCCATTCGGCGACGACACTGAACTACATCCGTGGACAGCTAGCAAGTGGTATTGCTGATCTGCACAATCCTCTGGACTGGGAATTGGGTCACGTTCGGGACGAGGAACTACAAACCAAGTACTCGAAAATCGTCCACAGCATCTCTGACTCGTTGCGCTTCATGAAGACTATTGGGGCGGACACATCAGGTCAGCTGCAGACTGTAGACCTGTTCACCAGCCACGAAGGTCTCGTTCTGGAGTACGAGCAGAGCTTGACAAGGAGACTCAAGCACCCTTCAGGCTACAAGCCTTCCCAGGCCTCAAATGACGGCAGGGGCTGGTACAATACCTCTGCTCATTTCATCTGGATCGGAGACCGAACTCGTCAAATCGACGGAGGCCACGTTGAGTACTTCCGCGGTATTGAGAACCCTATTGGTATCAAGGTTGGTCCTTCCATGAAGAACGACGAACTGGTAGAGCTACTCGACATCGTCAACCCGAACAAGGAGATTGGCAAGATTACATTGATCACGCGATATGGTGCGGACAAGGTTGAGTCGATGCTTGGAGCGCACATTGAAGCTGTCAAGAGCAGCGGACACGTTGTAGTGTGGCAGTGCGATCCCATGCACGGGTAAGTCGTCTTGATATGCAATCTATCATCCACTAACGTGTCGATAGCAACACGCGCAGCACGCCTACTGGCATCAAGACCCGCTCTTTCAACAGCATCTTCTCTGAGCTCTCATCGGCGCTCAAGATTCACAAGCAGCACGGGTCCTTCCTCGGTGGCATGCATCTGGAACTCACCGGCGATGCAGTTACGGAATGCACTGGCGGAAGTGAAGGACTTGTGGACGAGGATCTAAGCCTGAACTACACCACATACTGCGATCCCAGGTTGAACGAGAAGCAGGCGTTGGAGTTGGCATTCCTGGTCGCAGGACACTACCGTGCCGACGAAAAGCTCCTATAGGCTAAAATAGCCCTTGGTAGATTAAGCATGTCACGATGTGTTCGAAAACAAAATTACGATTCGTTGTAGCCTTCGCAAGCATCGCCCAAAGTAGTAAACCCTTTTCATGACGCGGGAGATCTCCACTACATCATCAGAGTGGTCCAAGCTTCACAAAGTCCCATACGTGCATCTTATCTGCCCCCCCGTTATCACCACACATCTCAACATTCTGCAACTACCCCACACTCGACGTATTGCCAACAGAGATAATGGGCTCTTCGGCTTCCAAAGGCGCAAAGGCGGCTGGCTCTGCTGCTCGTAAATACCCTACCAGAGCCCCTACGAATACTACAACACGGGCTCCCGCGCCTTCCGCACCCGCACAGGATCCTATAAAGGGACCGACTGTCCATCCCGAGGTGCAGGCTACTGGAGAGAAGACCGAGGGTATGTGTTCACACGCTGTCAGCACATGGGGACACGACACTGATTTCTAGTTTAGCTGTTTTACAAGATGCCCGCGACCCTGCCTTTGCATCGCGCCTGAGCAGTCTTGGTGCTGTTCAACCGAACCCTCATTTTTCGCCTTCGTCTGCCTCGCAATTCGACCCTCGCCGCAATACCTCGCCGAATCTTCCCTCCGATACGATGATGCAATCGCCACCGCAGTCTGCGTTCCCCGACCCGCGCAATAACCCTGTCCTCCGGGTACTGGAGGCGAGACAACGGATAGCAGACCAGGCGGAAGACGAGTTGCGAGACGTTGGTAGGAGAGGGTTCCAGGGAAGAACGTATGTGGATGCTGGTGTCATAACGTTGGCGATGATGAGACGGAGCAAAGGAGAGCCCGATGCGAGGATTGAAGACGCATTGGGAATCAAGAGGGGGAGACTGAGTGTGCTGGGCAAAGGCACGGTGGAGGCCGTAGCCTTGGGTTGAGCGGGCGATATGAAAGACGTCACGACACACGACATATCTGAGAAAGGCAACTTGAGCGGCACCGAACGGCCAGTCGAGATCGAATTCGACCTGCAAAAGAGCGTACATATGTACATACGAAACGAGAACGAAAGAAGACTGTCAACACCAAGCTCAACCCTCCCAACCGATGCAATGCGTTACCAAGTCGTTACCCAAACGCCAAACCAACACCGGAACAAATGCAGGAAACTACCAATTTTGTGCGCCATCATGATTCGTCGTGGTCGGCGTTCTCGTGGATGAAGTTGTTCATCGCCATCAGCGCCTCTTTCAGACACTCTTGGTCAACCTCGAGGCCGTCGCGCAACATTTCGTCGTAGCCGATGCGGACGACACCGCCGGTGCCCATACGCGCCCGCTTCTGGTTCCATCTCCGAGCGACTTCCCATCGCTTACGGGTTTGTGTGAAGGGCGGGCATGAATCGGCAATCTCCCTACTCTCGCGCAGGACCGTGAGGGCGTTGAGGACGTTGAGGAATATGCTACGCGCAACAGTCAGTCTCTACCTCGATACAACGCAAACAGTTTTCGCTCGACAACATACCCTTGTGTAAGCTCTAGGTCATGATCCCATCCATAGGCCACGGTACTGAAGCTGTTCCCCTGTGCCACGATATCCAAGAATATGAACAGCGACTCTTCCACACTTATGTCGGTAGTAATAGTTGATGCGACATTTGCGAGGATCCAGTCGGAGAGTTCGAAGAAAGTCTTCTGGTCCATGTGCGCGAAGCCGACGAAGCGCTCCGGAACGGTGAACATGAGCGACATGGCACGTCGCGCACCCATGGCCTCTATACAATCCATTTGGCCGGGGAGATGTGAAGTGCGTCGAGAAAGACCGAGACGTGTGGTTGAAAGTGGATGTGTTGATGTGCCGGCAGCGTGCCCAGCTGGTTGGTTGGTGGGTGGGTGGTGATGGAAAGCGGAGTCGGGAAGACGTCAGGTGAGAAATGAGGAGTAAGGCTGAGAATGGATGATGAACAGATCCAGCTGCATGCAACACTGCGGATACCGGCAAGAAAGAATACCCAATTCCAACAACACAAAC